ACCTTCGGGGATGCCTTTTTCCTTACATCAGCCTGTTCCATGTTCATAGACCCTTAGCATATCCAGAAACTAGTTTACATATTCCAGGAACTATTTTACATGACCCTTCCTTGGGTCCACTTTTTTAGAGCATGTGTGTTTCTCAGCCATGGTTTTGGCTCCTTCTCTTTATCACTTCCAGTTTGGGCCTTGGTCCACACTGCCTTCAGACAGTGAGTGCTGATCGTTGGCAGATCTGTAATGGGTGTTCTCATATCCTGTGTTCACTGGATGTTATCCCATCCAAGCAGGCATTTTAACACAAGCACACTGATATCAGCTATTTCCCTACCATGTCTAAGCTTAACTAAGAACGTAAGTTAAAACGACATCTTTTTAGCAAAGTTACTTTAACACTACATATATAAATCCATTTTAATATTTGCGAAAAACCGATGTTATGACATGTATCTGTTACAGTGGGAATTTGCATGCCCCCCTCCTGTGGGTTCCACCACACACCCAGCCTTTCCCTGGGAAGGAACCACACAGACACACACTGAGGACCTGCAGCTTTATTGATCCTGAGAGCCTTCCTGGCCACAGAGCTTCCAGCCCAAGCACAGCCCCCTGCCCTGCTCAGGGGCTCTTGGCCTTCCTTCGCTGGGTGCCCCACAGCAGCAGGGACAGGGACACGGTGACAGTGCCCAGGATTCCTCCAAAGAGAAGCATCGGGAATGGGCCCTGCCCGGGACCAGGAGTGAGCATCACCGCTCCCTGCAGTCCCTGCTACTCCAGCCAGGGCCCAGCCAGAGACAGGCTCAGTCCCGCAGGCACTCACCTCACGCAGGCACTTGTAGCCATGGAAGGGACTCTCACAGAGGCACTGGACGAGGCCGGGGCCATCAGGGGCACACACTGAGTTCTCAGGACATAGCCAGGCTGGCAGAGCAGAGAAGGGGGTCAGGGGCCAGGCCAGCCCCTGCCAGCCCCATGCACCCCTGCCAGGGCCACAGTCCCCCACCATACCGAGTTCCACAGAGCTGTTGCAGGGGTTCCTCTGTCCCTGGCACAGCCGGCTGCTCCTCTCCACCGTCACGTTCTGCCAGGCGTCACTCCCGCCTGGGCACTGCAGCGTCAGCGGCACCGCGCTGGGGGCAGAGCTCAGCACCAGCACCGCAGTGACCCCAGCCCCTGACTCCCCCCAGCACTCACAGGCTCTGCAGGCGGATGAAGCCCAGGAAGGAACCACTGGGGAGAGCTGTCAGCGGGTTCTCAGTCAGGTCCCTGCGAGCACACGGAACTTTAGTCCCATCCGGCACCCCCGGCCTGGCGAGCACCGGGGTACCCCCAGCGCCTCACTGAGCTCAGGCGGTTTCCAAGCACCCACAACCCCCCCTGCCCACCCGAGGCCCTGGCAGTGCAGCCCTACAGCTGGGGCTCAAAGGTCTCTGCGGAGCTGCTGAGGGACCGCTTGGTCATTAACAAAAACACTGATGAGCTGAGGTGTCACGGTGAGGGACCGCTTGGTCATTAACAGAAACACTGATGAGCTGAGGTGTCACGGTGAGGGACCGCTTGGTCATTAACAGAAACGCTGATGAGCTGAGGTGCCACGGTGAGGGACCGCTTGGTCATTAACAGAAACGCTGATGAGCTGAGGTGTCACAGTGAGGGACCGCTTGGTCATTAACAAAAACACTGACAAGCTGAGGTGTCACGGTGCCCTGAGGGCCACCATGGCTCACTGGGCTACATTTGGACACTGAGCTCTGAGCCCTGCCAGTGCCCTGGACGTGGCACCTCCCTGGCTCCTGTCCCTCCAGCCTGGGGATGAGGACTGTGCCAAAAGCCAAGATGTGACCATGTGGCTCATCTCTCACGTGCCAGCACAGGCCCCCACAGGAGGGCTGTCCTGTGACAATGTGCACCATGACAGAGCTCCAGAAGGATTTGTCCCATGTTCCTGCTGGGTACAGGGGTGAGGCTGCTGGCACAGACAGGTCCCAGGGCTCCCTGTTTGAAAACAGGGGTGGTTTCTGTTTGGTCAGGCCCTGTGGACTGACAGCCACGAGGGCAGGGAGTGGCCGCTGCCCCTGGGACCAGCAGGGCATGGCTGTGCTGGCCTGGGCCCATGGGAATGTCCCACCAAACCTGCCCCAACCCACTCTCCCAGCCCACCCCAGCTCCTTGCAGGGGCCAGAGGGAGCCCAGGGGAACTCACAGGACCATGGCAGTGGTGGCCTCGGCCAGTCCCGGGGGAACACTGTGCAGGGAGCAGTTGCTCAGGTCCAGCCTGGGAAGGAGCAGTGGTTGGGGACACAGTAGCATGTGTGTCCCCCACACTTTCCCCTGATGCTCTTGTGACCCCCAGCACCCATCTCAGCCCTGGTCTGTACCTGGTTCCCCCCCAACACCACCCAGGATGCTCCATCCAGGCATTCCCCAGCCCCGCCATTCCTCTGACACCCCTGTGAACCCAAAAACCCATCCTGGCACCCTCCATCCCCCGAGCACCCCTATCACATGGCCCCCGACCCCCAGCACCCCAGATTCACCCCCAGCCTGTGCATCCCCGTTCTCCCCCGGGCCCCCCGTACCCCAGAAGCTGCCCTGGGGTCGGGCCCCTCTCCCGGCAGCAGCGCCCGTCGCTCTCGGTGTCGTGCCGGGACTCACAGAACCGGGCCACGATGGAGCCGTTCCGCGGCGGCCCCGGGCAGAGCCCGCACACCTGGGGAGGTCGGAGGGCCATGGGCAGCGCCGGCACAGGGGCACCCCCATCTCCCGCCCCCCGCGACCCCCGGCTGTCCCCGACCCCCGGGCTGACCTGAGCCCCGGGTACCGCCGCTCCCCGTTAAAGGACAACCTCCTCGGCCTCGGGGAAACCCACGGCTTCCCTGACGCCCGGGCACCTCCAAGCCGGGCACCCCCGACCTCACGACATCCCCGACCGGGGACTCACCGCCCCCTGACCCCCCAACCCCGTTCCGGGCACTCCCTGACCTCCGTGGCATCCCGTACCCACCGGAGCCCCCCAGTTTCCTGCCCTCCCTTCGTTTCCGTGACCCCGACCCCGGTCCCCGTTGCTCACCGCGGCCCCGCGGGCGGCCCGGGGCAGCAGCAGCGGCAGCAGCAGCGCAAACGCGCCCACGGCCCCGCCGGCCCCGAGCATCCCCGCGCCACGGCGGGGAGCCCCGAGCGGCGGCGGCAGCTCCGTGCCCGTTCTCCCCACCCCGGCCCGGCCCGGGCGCCCTCTGGACCCAAACCGCGGAGGGGCCCCCGCAGCGGGGGCACCGGGGCGCGGTGACCGCCCGAGGGCCGGGATGGGGCGGGGATCGGGCCGGGGATCGGGCCGGGAGCCCCACGCGGGGCCCGCGCTGACGCCGTCGGCGGCGGCCGTGCGGAAGCGGCGGCGGGAGCGGCCCCGCCTGCCCGCGGCGTCATCCCGGCGCGCCCCGGCTGCGGCGGCACATGGGGCCAGTGCTGCCGCCGCCGGTGAGTGTTGCACCGGGGCCGCCGGGGCAAGGTCACCGCCGCCGCCCGCCACCGGCACCGGGCGCTCTGCGGGCAGCGGGGGCCGGGGGGCCGGCTCCCGGGATGGGGGCTCTGGCGACAGCGGGGACGGGGAGCAGAACCCCGGGATGCGGACGTCGGGGACGGGGAGCAGAGCCCTGTGTTAGGGACACCGCGGACGCCGGGGATGGCGAGTAGAGCCGCTGAGAGCCCCGGGATGAGGGCTCCGGGCACAGCGCTGGGCAGCGGCGGCCGGAGCGGCGTCCCCGCGGTCACCGGGTGACAAGGAAGGGCGAGATGGAGCGTGAGGAGCGGGGCACCGCGGGAGGCTGGCTGGGCGCGGCAGGACGGGCAGCGGGCTCACCCGCGGGGACGCGGGACACCCAGGGCTGCGAGAGCCGAGCCTCGGGCTGGCACCGCCGCGTCCTGTGGGGCACATTCCGGGACCGTCTGGGCGAGGGGGCAGCAGGCCCTCCGTGGGTGACCGGGCCAGCAGGGCTTGTGACCGGCAGGTGATGGGGGTGCGGGGACAGCAGCGCTGGAGGCAGCAGAGCCTCGGGGGCGCCGAGGGGTCTGTGAGGCATGGGACCTTGGGCCAGAGCCGTCCGGGAGGCTGGGGCTGTGGTGTGCCCGCTGGGGACGCGGTGTGACCTCCCATGTTTAGTCTGCGTGGGGGAATGTGGGGAGTGACCTTGGACCCTGGCCATGAGCTGCTGCACGTGGAGCCTGTCCTGGTCAGGGACAGGCCAGGGCTGGTAGCGGCCGAGACACTGCCCTCTCACCCCATTCCCCACCCAGACGCTGCTGGCGCTGCCGCCGCTGCAGAACCGCGTGCCAGCTCAGCTGCCCCCGGCCCTGTGGCAGGCAGGCCCAGGCAGGCTGTGCCAGGGGTGCCAGGAGGGGCTCAGCCTAATTCCACCAAGCATTCCCAGGCAAGCATTCCTCCAGGGATCATGATGGGATCATGGTGGGCACTGTGCCACTCCCTGGCTGCCACCCCCACTCCAGACTTGTCCTCCCTGTGCCCCTAACGCTGCCCTGCTGGAACAGAGGGTCCCCCGCAGCCTGCACCCCCTCCCAGGCCTGAAAGAGGGGTATCCACAGCCCTGTGGCACCTGCTGCTCCCAGGTGCCCGCAGTCACAGTCCTCTGGGTGTGCGGGCAGGCAGGGGCAGCAGTCTGTCCCCTCCTGTTCCACAGGAGCCAGAGCAGGGGCAGAGCACGGGGCGCTCTGGGCAATCCCCTCAGTGGGGTGAGGGTGCCAGAGACGGTGGATGCTCAGGTGTCTGCTCCACCTGGCTGGTGCCCAGAACCCTGAGGCTGCCTCTCCCCTTTGTCCCTTCCTGTGCACCGGGGGCAGTTCTGGCAGGGCCGTGGGCTGCTGGAGGGGTTGGGCTGCGTTGCCTTTGGTGCTGGTGGGACCGGTGCTGCCGGGTTTGGTGGGGCTGTGCAATGCTGGGGTGGTTGGGCCAGGTTGGGTTTGGCTCAGGTGGGAGTAGCACTGCGGGCTGAAGGCTGTTCAGCTCCGGGGGTGGTTGTGTTGGGTTTGGCTCAGGTGGGACTGGGGCTGTCCTGCACCGGAGGCAGCTGTGTTGAGCTTGGCCAGTTCTGCCGGGACTGGTGGTGCCGGTGCTGCAGGGGGCCAGGGTGGGACTGTTTTTGCAGCCATTGTCTTGGCGCTCTTTGAAGACTCTCCAGTTTCCTTCAGCGGGGCAGGTGGGGTGGCCCAGGGGGGGCCAAGCCCGGCCCAGAGGGAGGAGGAGGAGGAGGAGGGACTGGCCGCTTTCCCCACTCTGGGTCCTTGAGGTTGAGACAGAGCGAGCGAAGTTCCCTGCAGCACTGACACGTCCCTCCCGCAGCTGCCAGGGCCTGGCCGGTGCCGGTCAGACGCGCTGCCGGGCTCAGGTGCGCCCATGAGGCCGGCGGGGCGGGGGCGGCTGGGCAGCGCTGGCAGCGGCAGGGCGGCGCAGGGACGCGCTCACCATGGAGTTCACGGCCATCGACTACAGCATCTTCGCGCTGCTGCTGGTGCTGTCCTCGGCCATCGGGCTGTTCTACGCCCTGAGCGGCGACCGGCAGCGCACGGTGCAGGAGTTCCTGCTAGCCAACCGTGACATGGGCTGCCTGCCCGTCGCCCTGTCCCTGCTGGCCTCCTTCCAGTCAGCTGTGGCCATCCTGGGCGTGCCAGCTGAGATCTTTCGCTTTGGCACCGAGTACTGGTTCCTCGGCTGCTCCTATTTCCTGGGGCTGCTCATCCCGGCGCACATCTTCATCCCTGTCTTCTACCGTCTGCACATCACCAGCACCTATGAGGTGAGCAGAGGGGACGTGGGGGGAACAGAGGGGACACGGGGAGAGCAGAGGGGACATGGGAGAGCAGGGGGGACACGGGGAGGGCAGAGGGGACACAGGGCAGGCAGAGGGGACACGGGCAGGGCAGGGGACTGCGGGGAGCACAGAGCACCCTGCAGTCGGGTGCTCTGACCTCTCTCCTCTCAGTACCTGGAGCTGCGCTTCAACAAGACAGTGCGGGTCTTCGGCACCATCACCTTCATCTTCCAAATGGTGAGTGGAGCCAGGGCTGTGGGGGCTGCGGAGTTTGGGGCGTTGGGCGTGGCTCAGCACTGCTCTCCCTCCCCCCAGGTCATCTACATGGGGGTGGTGCTCTACGCGCCCGCGCTGGCCCTCAACGCAGGTATGATGAGGGCAGGTGTGGGGCTGTGCCCGGGGGCTGCCGCCCCTCACCCCATTAACGTCCTCTACCACTTCCAGTGACAGGCTTTGACCTCTGGAGCGCGGTGCTGACCATGGGGCTGGTCTGCACACTCTACACCACGCTGGTGAGTCCCTGCTGCCACAGGTGCCCTGTGCCCCTGCCGTGCCAGGGTGAGCACTGTCATCCTGTGGTGACGGGCACCGTGTGTCCCCATCAGGGTGGCCTGAAGGCCGTCATCTGGACAGATGTGTTCCAGACGCTGGTGATGCTGGCGGGGCAGGTTGCCGTCATCGTGGTGGGCGCATGGCGGGTGGGGGGCATGGCCCGTGTCTGGCGCGTGGCTGAGCAGGAGGGCAAGATCGCCGGCATTGAGTGAGTCACCTCCTGGGACACCCCTGTCCTGCTCTGGGGACACCTGGGGCAGCCCGGGGTGGGGGAGAGGGACCCTGGAGCGGTGGTGTGGTCCATCCCTGTTATCCTCTTTCCCACGGGGCATGGGGTGCCAGTGAGGACCCGTCACCATGACCCCCCCGGTCCTCCCCACAGCCTGGACCCCAGCCCCCTGGAACGTCACACCTTCTGGTCGCTGTCCGTGGGCGGGATCTTCATGATGCTGTCGCTGTACGGGGTGAACCAGGCGCAGGTGCAGCGCTACCTCTGCGCCCGCAGCGAGCGGGAGGCCAAGCTGTGAGTGGGGCTGGGACTGGGGGTCCCCGCAGCCGGGATGGGCCCCCAGCCACCGCCCGTGTCTGACGGCCCCACGGCGCCCGCAGCTCCTGCTACGCCGTGTTCCCCTGCCAGCAGATTGTGCTCTGCCTCAGCTGCCTCATTGGCCTCGTCATGTTCGTCTACAACCTGGAGCACCCACTGGCGCCCAGCCGGCGCCCTGCCTCCTCTGACCAGGTGGGTTTAGAGCCCCTCCCGTGTCTCCTGCTGCCCCAAGCCCTGCACTGACCTCCTGCCGCAGCTGGTGCTGTTCTTCGTGATGGACGTGCTGCAGGACCTGCCGGGGCTACCCGGGCTCTTTGTCGCCTGCCTCTTCAGTGGAGCTCTCAGGTGAGTGGGCGGCCCTGGGGCGGTGGCTCAGGTGTCCTGGCCGAGCCCCCTCCTGCTCCCTCTCCTCCCCAGCACCATCTCCTCCGCCTTCAACTCGCTGGCCACGGTGACCATGGAGGACCTGGTGCGGCCGCACTTCCCGGGGTTGTCAGAGTCGCGGGCCACGCTGCTCTCCAAGCTGCTGGGTCAGTGGATGGGGGGTGGCCAGGGGCTGGCATGGTGGGGGTCCCCAGCACTACCATGACTCCCCGCTCCCCTCCACAGCTCTCGGTTATGGGCTGCTGTGCCTGGGGATGGCATACGTGTCCTCCATGCTGGGACCTGTGCTGCAGGTAGGCACGGGGCTGCAGCAGCCCTGGCTCCCAGGTGGGATGAGTGACCTGGCTCTGGCACCCAGGGGGGGTGAGTGACATGGCTGTGGCACCCCAGGGGTGTGAGGCTGGTGCTGAAGGCCGTGTCCCCACAGGCGGCCATCAGCATCTTCGGCATGGTGGGGGGCCCGCTCCTGGGGCTCTTCTGCCTCGGCATGTTCTTCCCCTGCGCCAACCCCACGGTGAGTGTCCCCTGGCCCGCCAGCATCCCCCAGCCCCGTGCGGGTGTGTGGGGAGGTGTGGGGCACCCCGAGTCTGCACGGGGGCCAGTACCCTTCTTTATGCCCCGTCACAGGGAGCTGTCGTGGGGCTGCTGGCCGGACTGGCCATGGCCTTCTGGATAGGCATCGGCAGCTTCCTGCAAAGCTGGGGGGCCAAGGGGGTCCCCCCAGTCAACAGCACAACACTCCCCACCGTGGGCAACCTCAGCACTGTCCTGGCTACCACGCTGCTGCCCCCCACACCAGCACCTCCGAGGTGGGTGGGACGGGGGCTCGGGGACTGGGTGTGCAGGGTGGGGAGCTGCTGCTGCACCACCTCCTGACCCCGTGTCCCGCAGCCCCACGGGGCTGCAGCGCTTCTACAGCCTGTCCTACATGTGGTACAGTGCCCACAACTCCACCACTGTCATCCTGGTGGGGGTCCTGGTCAGCCTGCTCACCGGTGAGTGTGGGGTGGCGGGGGGCTGCCGTGCTGCCCCTGCCCCACTAATGGCCCTACACCCCCAGGCCCCACGCCGGCAGCGGCCCTGGACCCCCGCACCATCTCCCCGGTGCTGCCATGGCTGCTCTGCTGCCTGCCCCCCAAAATCCGGCGGTGGCTCTGCTGCGGGGGAGGCGACCCTGCCCAGGTGAGGGACGGACTCCCAACACCGCGGTGAGAGGGGGACGTGGAGGGTACCCCCCCGCCCCTGCTGCATCCTCTGTGCCTTCCCTGCTCCCCGCTCTGTCCCCACAGGCCCCCGGCCATGCGGACACCACGGAGAAGAGCCATGGGGTGCCCAATGGCCTGGCCCCCCCTGGCCCCGACTGGCAGGGGGAGGAGGGACACGGGTACGTCCGCAGTGCTGCTGCCCCCATCTACGCCGTGCAGGAAACCTCCTTCTGACACCCCCACCACGGGGGTCATGGCCACCCCCCTGCTCGGGGGGTTCAAGCCCTGGTGTGGCATCCACAGACAGCCGGGGCGAGCCAAAGAACAGGCGGGACACTGGTGGGCTGCCCCTCCAGGGGGCTCTGGGACCACGGTTGGGGGGTGTTGGAGCAGTGCCCCCCTCTCCAGGCTGGGACATTGTCTGGTACCCCCGGCCCAGCCACGTGCCTTACACACCGCTCCAGGGCTGGAGGCTGCCCGGACCCCTCAGGGTGCCCCCGCGACCCCTGTCACCAGTCTTTGTGTTTGGTGTCCCCCCAATAAATGGTTCTGGAGCACAGGTGTTGGAGGGTCCCAAGGAACAGCCCCGCTGTACCCCGGGACTCCCTAGCTCCCCCGCAGCAGCAGGCTGTCCCTGCTGCTCCCCGGAGGGGCACGGAACCCCTGTCACCCCAGGCTGCGAGTGGGGTGCCCCATATTTCCAGTCAGTGGGGTCCCCACGGAGCCACAGGACCGCTGTGTCCCCAGGAGCCGCCGTCTCCTCAAGCACCGGGCTGGCCCCGCTGTCCCACGTGGGGCCGAGGACCCCGTGTCCCCCCGGGAGCCCCCGGTCCGTGTACCCACCAAGCCCCGGGCTGGCCCCGCTGTCCCACGTGGGGCCGAGGACGCCGGGAGCTCCCGGTCCTTTCTCCCGCAAGCACCGGGCTGGCCCCGGTGGCTCCGGTGGTCTCGGCCCGCGCGCCCGCGTTCCCGCGCGCCCGCGTTCCCGCGCGCCCGCGTTCCCGCGCGCCCGCGTTCCCGCGCGCCCGCGTTCCCGCGCGCCCGCGTTCCCGCGCGCCCGCGTTCCCGCGCGCCCGCGTTCCCGCCGGTGACGAGCCGTGACGCGGCTGACGTCACGCCGGTGTCATGGCGCCCCGGCGTCCCGCCGAGCTGTACCGGGCGCCGTTCCCGCTCTACACCGTCCGCCTGCACCCGCGGCGGCCGCTCGCCATCACCGCCGGGGGCGGAGGCGCCGCCAAGACCGGCATCCGCAATGGCGTGGTGCGCGGCAGCGGGGACCGGGCCGCGGGAAGCGCGGGGCGCGGGGAATGAGGCGGCGGGAGGGCCCGGGAGGGCCGGGGAGCCCGGAGCGGCTCGGACGCGGCGGGCCCGGAGGGGGCCGCGGGGTGCCGGTGTCCCGGGGAGCCCCGCGGCGAGGCCGTGACCGCCGCCCTCCCGCGCAGCACTTCCTGCAGCTGGAGCAGATCGGCGGCCGGCTCAGCGCCTCGCTGCTGCACTGCCACGACACCGAGACCCGCGCCACCATGACCATGGCGCTGGCCGGGGACGTCATCGCCGCCGGGCAGGACAACAGCTGCCACATCCTGCGCTTCAGCCTGCAGGAGCCCGAGGCGCCGGGCACCGCCGGCAAGGACGGTGAGGCACCGCTTCGCCGGCTCCGGTGCGGGGCGCCTGCCCCGGGGCTGTGCTCTGCTTTGGGGATGGCCCGGAATGCCCCTCCCGCCTGCCCGGGATGCTGTGGGGGGGCTGAAGGGTGTTGTGGAGATAAGGCATTCTGTGAACGACCCCGTGCCCACCCTGGAGCTCCCTCCGTGCCTGCCCTGAATGCCCTCCCCTTGCCTGCCTTGGTGCCATGGGGCAGGATGTGGGGGTCTGTGGGGTGACTTGGGATGGGGCACTGCCTTGAACCCCTGCCTGCCTGTCCTGAACCTTCTCTGTGCTTGCCTTGGGTACCATGGCAGCACTGGAGATGAGACACTGCCCTGGGGCTCCCGTGTGCCTCCCACCCCCGAATGCCTTGGCCAGAGTGTGAGGGGCAGTGGGGTGCTTTGGGGCAGGGGTACAGATATGGAGCTCCCATGCCCACCCTGGATTTTCCCTGTGCCTGACCTGGATGCTGCAGGGCAGGGAGTGAGGGGCAGCTGAGGGTCTGTGGGCTGACTTGAGGATGGGCATTGCCCTGAAGCCCTCCATCACTGTCAGGGACCTGCCCCCAGTGCCTATCCTGGGTGCCATGGGGAGCTTTGGGGTTTGGTCACTGTCCTGGAACCCCCTGGGCCCCTCCAATGCCTGTCCTGGTGGAGCTTTGGGGTTTGGTGACTGTCCTGGAACCCCCTGGGCCCCTCCAATGCCTGTCCTGGTGGAGCTTTGGGGTTTGGTCACTGTCCTGGAGCCCTCTGGGCCCCTCCAGTGCCTGTCCTGGGTGCTGTGTGGAGCTCTGGGGATGGAAGCCCTGCAGCACCTCGTGCCTGCCCCGAGCACCTCGTGCCAGGCG